TAGGGCGCGGGCCCATGTCAGAGAGTTCGTGGGTTCGAACCCCGCCGACCGAAGACTCCCCGTGTAGTAAAGTGACTGATGCACGTTAAATCTGTCGAGTTGCAAAAGTCCGCTATGTTCCCATAACAAATCAATACCTCTGGGGGTACTGGATTGGAGATCGATCGTTCTCTGATTCAAGTCAAAATTACGATCTGTGGGGGAATGAATGGATGTATGAATGGGTCCGCCCTATAAGCGGGTGCGACGTATGGTATGGCAGAAGTAGAATTCTTGGCCATAGATGGCGCCACTGAAAAATGAGAATACGCACACTCTGCCTTAAATTTGCTCGGTTTCACCATGCATACTTGCCCGTGCGACAAGTGGCATTAGAAACAGCAACAACACGAATTTTTTTTTGTATCACCATACGAAGAAAAGCATTTATTAAATAATTTATTGTGCATTTCTTTAAACTTTTACCTACGTAATGCGAAATAAAACATTCATGCCATCTATCGGCAGAATATACTTAGTTAAAAAATTTTATTCACATTTACGTTCTTAATTTTAATAAAAATAAGAAACATAAAAATAATTCCAGTATCAACAATGCGGTTAAAAAATAAATAAAGTAAATAATAATAATATGTAATAATAATAATATGTAAAATAATAATAATATGTAAAAATAAATTTAAAAAAAACCTATTTACATCACATTTCTTCAAAATGGAGAAAACAAATATGTACACAGAAAATATTTATGTTAAACTAACGGAAATAAATTTCCATTTTATTCCGACTGGTTGTGAGAAAACGTTTATATATTCATCAAAAGAGATACTTAAACGGAAATGCTTGAATTTTCAGAAAAGATAACTAGTTACAAATACAGTCACAAGTCACATAAGGCCGTAATAACTAACTTTCGTCATCAAATATTCCGAGAGTGTCATCCCCAATATATTAAACTAATATTTACATTATTTATCGTCACCAACAAAAAAGTTACTTAGCGACGATAAGAGCTGAAATCCAAAGTAAGGAAAAATGATTACTTTAATTATTTGCACACAGGATGAGTGGTTAGTGACATCCTTGTCTGTCTATTAAGATTAAATGTCTCTGTTGATTATTTTATGGTGTCTGCAGGAGGATTTTTGTGGTTTGTCTGAGGCACAAATACGTTGATGGGAATTGGTTGATCAACATTAAGTGATATTTCCTTTTTCTGTTAGTATATTATTTGCTAAAAATGAGTGGTTTTATTATTTTATGAGAGAATATAGTTTCGTAACATATAGTTAAACATAGTTAGAGATCCATGCTTTTCCACAGTCATATTATCAAATACGAACTTTTTAGTTTGTTTGTTATTTTAAGGTTTGTTTATAGTTACGTTATTTGTTCATTTTTTTACAGTTTATTAAAATAATATTTTTTTTTCAATAATACTGCGAAGCATTTTTGGTGGAATAAGTAAAAATGGTATCTGGTTTAGAGGATTAAATGGCCAGGTCACATTATAAGAATGAAGAATAGCAGGACAACCAAAAAAGTTTTTAGTGCCAGGCCAACAGGTACGAGAAAAAGAGGACGACCAAACCTAAGATTTTTAGACTGCCTTGAAAAGGACCTACAAGTTCTAAAGATAATAAACTGGAGAACCTTGGCTAAGGGACGAATGTCTTGGCATAGGCTTGTTGAGAAGGCCAAGGCCCACCCTGGGCTGTCGTGCCAATGAGAAGAAGAAGAAGACAATAATATTTGCGTAAATGCTAAAAATATGTAATCTGCAGAGGATGAAAAAAAGGAAATAATCATATTGAATAAGTTTTCATCGAATGATTGAATTTTTCTCTGTTAACGTGGAATTTCATGATTTGAAAAAGTAACTTTTGAAAATTTTGCTGCTTATGAACTGAAACAGCGTTGTAAACAGAGTATGTTTGTTCTCATAATTTAGTGCAAAAGCACAACGAGAGATTTCTCTACCAGTAAATTAGACCAAAAGCGTTACAAACGGATTATGTCTCGTCATAGTGAATAAAGAATAAGAATTCAGAGCTCAAAAACGTTAGTATCCTCTAAAAACGAACCGGAATAGGCTAATTAGTCCTGAAAATTGATTAAGTTAAAAGTCAGGAATAAAAAGAAATTTTATAAAATAGACAAAAAAATTTTTTTTATCGGATTCTATACTTTAATCCACAGCTATTTAATTTCAAGTGTAACAGAAAAAATTTAACGCAAATAGGATGAGCTGGTGATCTGGATTTGGTAGTGTAGCAACATTTGCTTTTAAAAGGCTAAAGGGGTAAAGAAGAATATTTTTGTTTTTCATAGTTGCTAGAGCTATCTTTAAAGATCTAGCACCTAAACAATTTTATTCCCTCTCCCTCCAAAAAAAAATATTTTAGCTGCTTATAGGCTTGTTAATATTCACTAAACGATGATAATCATAGCTATGTTTTTTCGACATCCATGCATTAAAAACTGATTTATTCTTTCGTTTTATTATTTTCTTAGTTACTTGTTTAAAGGAAACTTCACCAAAAGAACTATAAAACTGAAATGTTTTTATAAAAATAATTTGAACGCAATTAATATAGATACGATAAAATTATATTTAAACTTATTACTTTTAAACTTATTTTGCAAATATAATATAGTTTAAGGTTTAAAAAGTTCCCAGCTCAGCTTTTAGAAAACTATCAGAACAAAAGCTTTATTAAACTATATACATTTCATTTCATTTATATGTATTTCATTTCATTTATATTAAATGAAAGAAATCTAATTTAAAAGTTATGATCTTGATTTTAGTTTAATTAAGCTTAAACTTGAAATTGCATTGATTTGTTGGTTAATTCGAATACTTTGATGTTTTTATAGAAATTTTTAAAATTTTTTTTGATATTAAAATAGTACAGCTATGAAAATCAATAAAACGTTTATTTAACTGGAATTCTTTAATAAAAGTGACATTTAAAAAGAAGAAGAAAAAAAATAATAAAAAATATTATTAATTTTTAATAAAAGTTGCTAACATTTTAAAGTATGCAAAATATATAGGTAACTGATATTTTATTCAATTTATGATAAACTGAGAATTATGTAAGCATGCTAAAATACTTTAAAATCTCTAAATTTTTAAGCTTTAATGAAATATTTAAGCTTATTAAAGCATAAATATCGTTCAATACATTCTTTATTAATAAAATACTACACTACCGGTCAAAAGTTTGCGAAAATTTTGAAATCTACGAAAAAATGGTCTAAATTCAAATGTTCATAGAACTGCGAAAAATCAGTCAAATTGCATGAAAAGTTGATATGTTCTAAAGTGAATCCTCTACATTTAGTTACATATGATCAAATTGCGATACTTTGTTTATTGCGATCTGAATTCAGCTTTTCATCATGGGTTGTTTCTATGGTGAAAAAAGTTGCTAAGTTCGAACACTTGCCAAACTTGCAAAAAAAATTTTTTGTACTTTCTGTTAATGGAAAATAGTTATTTGAACCGTTTTGTGTAAGCCCTCAAAATTTCAAATCGTTTCGATTTGTTTTGACGAAGTTATAGATTTTTGAAAAACATGTGTACTTTTCTCGATTTTTGAGCATTCCACATATGCAGTCTTTTGGTCTATACATCTTCTACCAAAGAACTTTTTAATTTTAATGTTTTCTATATTTTCAAATAATTAATATTTATTATAAAACAAATACTCTTATTCATTATTGTAACTATTATTGTTTATATTTATTGTTTATATTTATTGCTTATATGTATTAGTTTTGTTGTGATATTTTTACTTTACATTAAATTAAAATAAAAAGTTATAACAATAATTACATAAATAATTCTAAAAAAATAATATCAATAGTATAAAAAATTTGCATTTTTACTAAACTATTTTATTTACAACAGGTCAAATATTTAACATATTCTTATTCGTATTTTGTAATTAAATAAATTAACATTTAAATCTTAGATTCCTCGAACCATCCACCTTTTGCTTTTATTATAGCCTTACATATGCGTGGCATTCGATCTAACAAACCATTAATCACTTCAAGTGATATAGAGTTCCATTCCTGTTGTAAAATGTCCCATAACTGATTTCGATTCGAAATATCAGAGCATCGTTTGCAAGAACAAACAAATTTTCGATGAAATGTGACATTTATGAGATATTGTTTTAATTATATTCATAATAAATTCTTTGTAATTACAATAATGAATAAGAATATTTGTTTTATAATCAATATTAATTAGTTGAAAATATAGAAAACATTAAAATTAAAAAGTTCTTTGGTAGAAGATGTATAGACCAAAAGACCTCATATGTGGAATGCTCAAAAATCGAGAAAAGTACACATGCTTTTCAAAAATCTATAACTTCGTCAAAAAAAATTCAAATCGATCTGAAATTTTTAGGGCTTACATAAAACGGTTGAAATAACTATTTTCTATTAACAGAAAGTATAAAAAATTTTTTTTGCAAGTTTGGCAGGTGTTCAAATTTAACAACTTTTTTCACCATAGAAACAACCCATGATGAAAAGCTGGATTCAGTTCGCAAAAAATAAAGTATTGCAATTTGATTATATGTAACTAAATGTAGAGGGTTCAGTTTAGAACATATCAAATTTTCATGCAGTTTGAATGATTTTTCGCAGTTCTATGAAAACTTAAATTTAGACCATTTTTTCGTAGATTTCAAAATTTTCGCAAACTTTTGACCGGTAGTGTATAAAACATTAACTCGTTCTTTCAAACTTAAGTGATAAAATTCCTATACAAAATAATATTTTTAATCACATTTCTCAATTCATTTTGTTTCAGATACTCCTTAGCACCCTTATTATAAATTAAAAAAGAAAAATAACTTGATTAGTCAATATCAACGATCGAATTACATATTTCAACTTATAACGTTCACCTAGAGATGGCGCCTCGGGCGATTCCACCTGTCGATCCATTTTATTGTAGTTTTCATCGGGGCTCGTTTCCACGTGACATTGAGCGGAGAAAGCACCTTCTTATTCCACAACAGACGGTAGGAAAACTGTCGATCTGTGAGAACGGGATTTCTGCCGGTGGCCTGGCTTCTCCGTCAAGCACGTGGATTTATCGCTTGACGGGTCCCTTTATCACTATTCGATTATTTTAAAACACTTCAACTCTATTTTCTTCATGTATATAATCCGGTGAAATGCATCGTTCGATGAAAATTAATTCATCGCAAATCGATTTTTAAATTTTAAAACATTTATTTTTAAAAAACAGAGATAGAGCGAAACAAGAAAAAGTGGTGACTGTCGCCACACTTCATGAATCGCCAAGCCATGGAAGTAATCGTCGCTATCCTATTATCAGTTCTAGTTTGCGAAGTATCAGGTACCAGGCTGACCAACAGTTACATAACGGAATGGGGTATCAGCAGCAGACTTACCCAACCTTCTTGTGTTGACATCCCAGAAAACTTGACCCTGTGCCATGGTATCGGATACACGCAAATGCGACTGCCCAATTTGTTGGACCATGACACCATGGCCGAAGTGTCGCAGCAGTCCTCTTCGTGGGTGCCGCTCTTCAATCTCAAGTGCCACTCGGACACTCAACTCTTTCTATGTTCATTGTTCTCACCTGTGTGTTTGGACAGACCAATCTATCCATGCCGGTCACTGTGTGAAGCCGTTAGGCAAGGATGTGAAAGTCGTATGCAGGCCTATGGCTTTCCATGGCCGGACATGGTTAAATGTGACAAATTCCCTGTGGACAATGATATGTGCATATCTGTTCAAGCCAATGCCAATACAGGTGAGTCAAAATAAATATATATAGTTTCAGTTTATATTAATCGTTTGATATATTAAAATATATCAATTTTTATTCTAAATGAAAAGTTGATTACCAGAACAAGGACATTTCAGTGCATTGGAAAAAAAAATCAGAATATATAGAGTCTTTGAGAAGCTGTTAACGAAATATCCATTAAAAATTGCCTTAGCAAATTCATATTTTGTTTTAAAAATCAACAATGACATCAATATGTTCTTAAATCGGAAATTTTGTTTCATCGACGTCATTTATATGTTTACTTCAATTTATTTATTTATTTTTGCTTATGTGTTGTTTCTATTTTATAAATTTTTAAATAGTACTGGTATTTATTTTGCACAACGATTTTTTTAAAAAACTCTATTGATCATTTTAAGCAAACTTTGTTTTTATTCAAGAGAAAAATATTTGCTAGGTTTCTTTATGTTTTAATAATAAGGTTTTTCTTTTCTTAGTTACTTAAAAGTTATAGTAATTAGTTTTGTAACAAGTTTCCGATTTTATCTCTTTGTTTATTTATTAAAAAATTAATAACAGCAGTAACAACAAAAAGTTTACTTCATGTGTGTGTCTTACACCACTATAACTCATAAAAATTTATTCATTTTAAACTATGTATTCAATTGTGTAAAAACGAAATGTTTTGTAAGTTTTTAAATCCGAAACACGTTTTAAATGCGTAACATAGAAACTTCAAGTTGGTAGCATTGAAATTCAAAACATTGTAACATTTTCTTTTTGCGATCGAGGCCATCCATGTCTATTTTAATAATCCATATGCATAGTCGAAAGAAAAATGGTAATGGCTGATAACGGTGGAAAAGAAAATGGAAGCTTACTCTTGAAAAAAAAAAAAAATACAAAATGATGCATTTTTTCATGGAATGAATAATTTAAGAAATAAAAGAAACTTTAAAAAATTAAAATAATTCGCGTAATTGTTGGTTATTTGTTCGGATTTGTTTTAAAAAATATTTATTTCTAATAGTTATTATACATAACTTTTAGACACTCAAATTTTGAATACATGAAATGTAAACATTATTTACATAAACTTGAAACAAATATAGGTTGTAATTCAATGTATATTTTGTAATTATGGATAAAATATAATTCAATTGTTAATATTTTCAAGAAATTCTCACATTTTTATATCTTTGCTTTTATTTCGGAATTTATTGAGAAGACGTAACTATTCTGTGATAATGGATATATACTATATCCATTATATTTGATATATTATGGATTTTATATGGAAACGTATGTTACGCTTTTTGCTATAATCGTAAGTGATTGATTTATTGACTTCAGAGTCGCATTAATAACAATAATAAACGGAAGTCTGTGCGTCAACATCACGAATTCGCTAAGTGAAAATATTGATCAGCTGGAGGATTTAAGGGACGCTATTGCTATTTATTTCTTGTTTTGATCGGGCTTGTAGAAGATAAACATCAATCGCGAGTCAATAGGATAATGGTGTAATATCTGGATTTCTGAAAATTTATTAAAGACAAATAAATTTCATAGTTTGTTTTTATTAAATTTAGATATTTGGTTTATGCTTTTTTTACACCTGTTTCTCTAAATATTCCGTAATAATTTTTCGGTGAAAGTTTTAAATAATTACGATTTGAATAGTTCTCTTTAAAGGACGTTGTAAATGAATTAAAATCATGACAATTAATAGTTTTTTAATTTTACACATTTTCAATTTTTTAAAATTTGTTTTATAAATGGTAATATAGCATTCTATTCCAAGGTGAAGTATATTTTCATTTATAAAATAAAAACTGCAACAAAGGTCTTATTTTTATCTAAATTTAAAATTTTATGTAGAATTTTAAACTGTTCATACGTTTTTGTCATTTGTAAAAACAGTGTTACTCCAGATTACGTGTAAAAAGCGATTATGTTAATAATATTTGAGTAAAATAAGAGTTGGGAAAAGATTTATTATCTTAAAAGTCAACTCATTTTTTAAACAATACTTTCGTTTGAAAACATTACTCTGTTAGGATTTCATTAAGAGAAATAAAAAAAAAGTACTTGAATTCTAATGGAAATAGTATTATTTTATATTTTCAATTTAAAATGTTAATTTACGTTCGTAAGTAATGTTTGCTTGAAACATTATTTTCAATCAGCAACTATTTTTAAATAGCGTGTCCGTGTATATAAATATTTTAAAAAAAGAATTATGTACACGGATCGTATATAAGTATATCTGCCTCGCATAATATCTGCATTTTGAAATTGCGGTAATTTTTAACTTTTAATTTGAAAGAAAAAAAATTATCATGGATTTGAAATCACTGATAATTTAGTTTAAAATGTTAATTTACGTTCGTAATTAATGTTTGCTTAAAACATTATTTTCAATCAGCAACTATTTTTAAATAACGAGTCCGTGCATATAAATATTTTAAAAAAAGAATTATGTACACGGATCGTATATAATTATATCTGCCTCGCATAATATCTGCATTTTGAAATTAAGGTAATTTTTAACTTTTAATTTGAAAGAAAAAAAAAATTATCCTAGATTTGAAATCACTGATAATTTGGTCCATCTATAGTGGGAATGGAAAATAATTAATATCGTAAAGAATGCAGCACCCAGTTTTAAGATTATTTAAAAAAAATTAATTTTAACTATTAATATAATGGTTTGATGGCCTTGCATTAAATATATGAATTAATCTAGTGTAGACAATATTTTAAGTAACAAATCGGACACAAAAACATACTTACTCTAATTGAACATACCTGTTTTTTTCAATTGAATTTGACATCTGATCCTCAAAATATGAATTAAGCAGCAATCAGGAAAATATAATCCCAATAATTTGGACAAGAGTATGGTTGTACGTATTTTGTTATATCTCCTGCAAATTAAAAAAAAATTTTTGCACACAAATATAAAACTTGTATATCTAAATATAATTCCATGTAAAAGAGGATATTGTTTTCATAATTATTTATTACAGCTTAATTTACTAATAGCCGGAAATAAATTTGAATTGAAAGACACATAAATTTTTACCCTATTTTTATCTACATAATTTTATACAAAATTCGAAATTTGAAAGGACTTCGAATAGCTCCTGGGGGAGAAAAAAAAATCCAATCCGACATTTTGAATCACGAAAAAGTGAAATTCGAATTAAGGAGCCCTAACTTCCGACCGATTTCGACTTAGAAAATATGGTCCCAATAGTTTAATTCTGTGAACAGAATTTTTTGTACCGTAAAATCTCACCTGGAATTAACTCACCTTTTTACTTTAATTAAGAGAGTAATAAAATTATAAATATGATTTCGCATTTGTTGTACAATTTTAAATCTGAATTTGTGTTAAAAATAAAATACTATTTAAAACACACTAAAAAGGGAAATGTCACATTTCTAATGTATCTGAAAATATAATTTGTTGTTAAATTTTAAGCTAAGTCTAAATTCTTACAATAGACCTCTAAGTTATTTTAAACATGTAAATACAAACTATAGCATCTGTGCATCAAGCCCATTAATGTTTTATAAGGTGTCTACTTATTAATATTCTACAGAACTAAAGTTGTAACCGTGTAAAAAAAAAATTTTGGTAACTAAATCAAATAACTAGATTCTATTCACCAATACAACACGTTTCAAGAATAAAATGAAACTAAAAATATTAGTTACTTGAGTTTTCCTATTAAAATTAGTTAAAAAGAAGCATTTTTATCTCTGTTTTTGAATGCGCTTAAATTTCAATTCTTTATTCAAAAATCCTTTTCATTTACAAAGCACGCTGTGAGGAATAAAAATAAGGCAAGTGATAAATACAAATTATTCACCCGACGCATGTGACGCATATCCTGTTAAGTAATACTTAAACTTTCGGTTCGCGTCCTTAAAAGTAAATGTAGTTAAAACATGACTAATTGCTATAACATGACTTAACGTCCTGCTATAATCATTAGCTATTTAAACACTTCATAAACTCTTTTTCATCTTCGCTAAGCATGTTTTTCACAATGAAAGAAATAAGAAGTTAAAAGGAAACGGTTGAGGTAAACTGTCGTTAAAAACATATTAATAAGCTTTGAGTATTATTTCTCGAGTAGTATTAGCAGATATTTATTTATTTAATTTCAAAATTAAGTTCCTAACCAAAAAATTAAAAAAAAAAAAAGAATGTGCGGTAAAGTTGCAACACGTTTTCCGATATGGAATTTATAAAAAGCATAATAACTCTTAGAATTTTAATTTTTAGTTTCATCTAATGCCGAAAACAGTTAAAAAATCAATTTCTTAAGAAAGTATCGTTTTTTCCCCTTAAATAATTACATTTTAAAGAACTGTTTTGCAAATTTTAAAGTACAAGAAAATCGCTTGCTAATTTTTGTTTAAAATCAACTGCAGTATTTTTAAAAAGTGTTGCCGTTAAAATCAGACTTCCGTGAATGTAATAGAATGTTCACATTAGTTTTGTATAAAAACATATTAATAAGCTTTAAGTATTATTTCTCGAGTGGAATATTAGAAGATATTTATTTATTAAATTTTAAAATTAAGTTCCTGAGCAAATTTAAAAAGAAAAAAAAAGAACATGCGATAAAATTGCAAAACGTTTTCCGAGATGGAATTTATAAAAAATAATAATTCTTAGAATTTTAATTTTTAGTTTCATCTAATGCCGAAAATATATTTAAAAAATCCAATTTCGCAAGAGATTCTCGTTTTTTTATTATTAATATTATTTGAAAAATTGATTTTTCCAGAAATAATTACACTTTAAAAAACTGTTTTGCAAATTTTGAAGTGCAAGTAAATCGCTTGCTAATTTTTGTTTAAAACCAACTGCAGTATTTTTAAAAAGTGTAGCAGTTAAAATCAGACTTCCGTGAAACAGTTTTCAATTAGGAAGAAAAGAAAGTTTAGAGATTTCGGGGTCAGATTCTCAGCTTTCCTAAAAAATCCCGGAATTTTAAAAA